GTTATTTAAAATGTTCTATAATGATATAAATAGCTCTGTTATTATTAATAAGCAGACTTCTAGAAGATTTAAACTTAGTCGTGGTGTAGACAAGGATGCCCAATTTCATGTTTTCTCTTCATTTTAGCTGTCGCGTTACTTGCTATTAGTATTTGCATGCATCCTCTACTGAAAGGTATCTCAATTTTTGGAAAGGAAATTATATGACTTTGTTCTTAAAAAATTAAGAATCAAATACCAATCGCTCTCGAGACCATTTAAACCTTTTCCCTTGCCTCTGGTTTGCCTTAAAATCTGAACAAATGTGAGTTTGTGTGCTTGTCCAACAATCTCCATGGTATACAAGTTAAGGATACTGTGAAATACTTGGGTTTACATGTCACCAAAAATCTTGCCAGGCAGCATCTCAATTTCTCTTCTAGACCAGGAAAAACTACATCAATATTTAATAACTGGCTTCAAAGAGATCTTTCAGTCTTTGGCGAAATACTCCTGACAAAAGTGGAAGGTCTTTCACACTTTGTCTATCTAGCTATGTCTCTGTACGTTTCTGACAAAAATTGTAAAGAAATTAATGTGTTTTTTAAAATTTTGAATGGAAAAACCAACATCAACTCAAAAGCTCAGTAATGTCCTGCAAAAAATTGGAAGGTGGAGTAGAAAGCTTAGACTTTTTTGATGTCAATAATACGTTCAGAGTGAACTAGTTGAGAAGATGTTTGCAGAATGCAAATTCTGTGTGGTGCTTCATTCCCCAGCATGTCTTTAGGACTAAAGATATATAAAACCCTTGTTTAAATGCAGGATTGTATATGATTTATAAAGGGTAGTCAAAATAAGCTATAATTTCAGATTACAATTGTGTTACACTCACACTGAAAACCTGTGATTTAGATAGATAGATAGATAGATAGATAGATAGATAGATAGATAGATAGATACTTTATTGATCCTGAAGGAAATTTAGCAGCCAGTTGCAGTCACACAACACAGGACAGTAATAGTAATAAGGATGTAAACAATATAACAGGAAGAATAAATATTAAAAAATCCTATCTACAGGCATATATACAAATAGAAAAATACAAAAATCTGGAATAATATGTTTAACCTGTGATGAAAAGACGCAGTACAATAATGACTGTACAAGTGGTGCAGGTCTCATTGAAAGAATTAAGTTAACACAACTTAAATACTACAGAAAGTTGGAGTAACTTAATCTGACTAAACTCAAAAATGAATGGTTGAGATAGTAGCTCAGCCATTTTGAGTAAGATTGTTTTTTCAGCATATTTTAAGTTTAAGTAACTTTATTTAAATATATTATATTCATTATTTTTATTTAACTTGACTTTACATGCAAATACAAATTGTGATATGTAATGTCATGTAATGTGATAGGCAGCATCAATGTTTATATTTACATGATTTGGACTTTCATGCTTTTTTTCATAACTTTATTTTGATGATTTCAGACTCAATGATCCCATCAAACAGGATCTTTGAGTTGAATAAACTTATTGCAGTTTAGTTCAGACATCTCAGCTTTACTTGATAAATGTTTGGTCAATGCAGTCTTATTCAGTAAAACTCAATCATTCCTATTGGCTCTTAGTACCATATATTTACATATTGGGCATGTCTCTTCACCGTCTGTGTGTTGTCATTCTCCCCAGCCTACCTTCCCTTGTGTAACTAAATCCACAAACTTTGAAGATGTGTGCTGATCAGTACTGTTTGGCAAAAAGAGTAAAAGAGAACGAAGTTTCTAGGCTCCTGTTTTCTGAGTGTGGTTGTGCATCTGTTCTCTGGTTTGTACTGTCAGTGTTTGGTAGGAAGGTCTGTACTAACATTAAGGTGAACAAGATGTTGTTAAAAATATATATGATCATATTTCTGCAATAGAGTATGAGTTTGTCCAAATCACAGCCAAATGGTGAATTTCATTTGCTATTACTTAATTATATTGAGTTAAAACAGCTTAAACATAGGTCCCAAATACTCAATCATTTTAATACCATCAAAACAAATCGAGTTAGTACAATTTACTCAATTCACCTAAGAGTACATGAGTTATTGAACTTAAAACATTTGAGGTAATCAGTTTCCTCAAGTCATTAAATCATTAATTGACTTAACTCATCAGGTTTTACAGTGAGTCAGTAAAAATGTCTGGAGTTGCTGTGAGTGAGATAAACTGCAGCATCCCTAGTGCCCTCTTGGTGCCGCTAGTGTTTTGGGGGTGACCCATTTTCTCCGAAAGGCTGAAACATCATTGTGTCTACTCTGTCTGTTCTGTTGGTGCAGAGCTGGAGAGGAAGTTCCAGAAGATCAAGCAGAAGATACAGAAGCAGCGGGATGAGATAGAGCAGCTGGAAGAGAATGCTACAGATGTCCGAGAGTTCATCCGAATGAAAGTTGCTGGCTACAACAACTGTCAGTAACGACGGAAAATCAACAAATAGCAAATCTGAATATCAGAATTAGCTCAGCCCACCCCAGGTACTCCGAACATCACCACCTGTCTGTCACATGTTTTACATGTATATTAAAAGTGAGTCAGTGGCTTTTGTCAGTATTTGTGGCATCAGTCACTACTTAGTGTTCATTCTGCCTGTCTGTCTGCTGAAGACCTGCTGGGAAAGTGCGCTGCCCTGAAACTTTATGATTGATAATAAATTAGCATATCAAATATAATTATTTTGAGAGATTACGTGAGAGCAGTTACATTCTGAAAAAAAGTGAATTGAATTTACTTGATTCAAATATATACATAATTTCTACATGAATAAAATAAATTACATCAACACAATTATCGCTAAAAGTAACTGAAAGACAGTTGTGTTGATGTCAAATTTAGTTGTGTGGAATGAAATTATGTACTTTGTCTGCTTCAGTCTCTCGTGTTCATTACCTTAAAGATGAGTTGTGTCCATTTGGAATAATATTGGTTGGGTTTTTCATCAAAGATGGCAAATATTGTCATCCTGCCTTAACAGGAGGACACTTGAGTCACTGAATAAAGTGTCTTAACTGTATACTTCACCACCTAAAGGCAAAAAAAAAACTGGTACGGCACAAAGTTAGTAGGGTTTATATCTGGTCTTTCTGTAAATGAATCCTCCAGTCAGGGAGTCTCTGCCGGTGACCCGACCTGCTCTGTTACACTACTGAGTGAATGTGTTATCACAACTAACGCAAGACGTTTTCACATGCAGAGCACTGACGGTTAAGTGCCATGTACTGAGATGAGCCTTAATCACACAGATCCATTACCTTACCTGTGGTCCTTGTGGGAGACCTCTATGAAGCAATAAATGTACATTTGATACAATATTTGAAATGATGAAAGAGTGACTCCTTTTCATTCTTCCCTTTCTGTCCTTTCTGAGTCTGAATCAGTCTGTCTTTTGCAGTAATCCTGTCTGGATCAGTGCACTTAGCTGGTCTTGAGAGCTGTTTCCTATCATGTGACTCATGATTCCTCACGCATGTGATCTCAGGAACATTCTTTAAATTACGTAGCTTCTAAACTGTGGAAGTACATTTCAGAGAAATCCAGATTAAAAACATATTTGTTTTACAACATATATATATATATATATATATATATATATGAAGATTTATTATTAAAACCTAAAGGGGAATAAAAATTTCTGCATAGTTCAATAGTTGAGATGTAAATTCATTTGGAGTGGTTTGAAGCGAAATGGTTCGCTGTAGAGAAACTTACAAACTCTGAATTGTTTCTTTACAGAGATGCTGATGAGAACCAGGAGTTGTGATGTCTTTAATGCAAATAAATCCATTTTATTTACTGTACAGAATGACCTGTAAAGCTACATGTGTTTATGTTGATAATAGTAAGACAGTAAATCTGGGCAAAATAGTCTTCTTTATGGACTATTTTGCCTTACAGCATCCTACATGTATCCCTCCACCATGAAAAAACCCATAGAAACCATTAAACGTTTCTGTTGGTTCCTGGCTGTTTTGTAGTGTGTTTGGCTTTTGTTGATGGTTGATATCACAATATAAAGGGTCTAAATGGTTTATGTGACTTGTTACTGATTCTAAACGCCTTTTATGGTTTTCTGATAGGATCTAGAGGAGTTCTACAGCAAACTAGTGGCCTCTAATGGTAACCATTAAGCCAATTCCAATTGGGAAGCAAAGCCACAATGTTTTAATCCTAATGGTTCTAGTGGTCTATTTTCAGCAGATTGGATTCTAAAGATACATTTTAGGCCAAAACCTGATCTCAAACAATGGCTTAGGCATCAGACAGCGCCTTCATTCATGTGGCTAATAAGTTGTTTGTGAAGCAGCGTCTATAGAGGCGTTAAACTCCTGACGTCTGGTTCCCATCACCACCACTGTGAGCAATTCTGACTCAGTACGTTTCTCGAGATAAGTACATTTCACATCAAACCACTCAGAACGACTTTGTTTACGTGATAACGAGTTAATTATGTAAACTTATTAAATTCTGTGGAATGTCCTTTTAATTTACTGAGAAAAAAAAACAAAGTGCTTCATTTTGGTATAAATACGACAAATACCGGTTATTTCTTGAGAGCCTGGTGACTTTTCTGAACGGGAATAGATAATATGACGTTCATTTTTCAGACTACATATAATATAAATGTTTAAACTTTACTCAGCTTCAGTAAGACAGAACATCTCTGAGAGAAAGACTGCTAAAAGTAAATGTTCAGCTGAATCAGCTTCGATCACTTCTCTCCATTCTGCAGACCTTCATTAATTATGTTGATCAGGTAAAAAAAGAAAGTCACTCTTACTGACATTTTGAGTGAGATTTCCGTCTTTTATTTAATTATTCGTGTATTTCGGTCAGTCTTATATATCTGCATGTGTTAATGTGTACACATGGTCTATGTGGCAAATCTGTCCTCGCGAGCGCGCATTCCTGGTTCAAAAGCGCGCGCTCACCCGTGAGGGGTCGGTTGGTCGCTGAGCAAAACCTGAAGTGGACTCGGAGAGTTTCAGGAGCCGCTTGACCCCTTTTCAAACTAAAACCTCCTCAGCTGGACTGGGGAACACGCAGGTGCGCGCAGGTCTCGGTTAATCCACTGCGTGACTTCCATCAAACACAGAGAGTCGGTCGGACTTTCGGCAACTCCGCCAAACCTCCGCTCAGCCGATCAGACGGAGCTACTGCGGCTACAGCTCCCTCAGTGGCCGCCGTCTGACGGAGGGACGCGCTGAGGAGCATCACAGCACCACTGTGAGTATCTGAACTACCCAGCTGAGCTGCTTTCTTCGGAAATCACCTCATGGTTTTGAGTTATTCGATGTCAGGAATGTACTTGGGTTTTAGTCAGAGGTGGGTAGTAAATTCACTACGTTTTACTCTGTTAGTCACGTTAAACTTTGCTGGATTGATCCTTTTCGGAGTGTTTTCAGATGATAACACTTTCACTTTTTCTCAGGTAGGCGTGTATTTCTAAAGAAAGGAATTTACATTTCACTAACTTCCATTTTATTCCTTTCAATTTTCCTTTTGAGGGTTTATTTCATTCTATTCTGCTCACGTTAGTTCAGCACCTGGACTGATTTAACGTTACCTTTGTCACACGTCTCTCTTTTAAGGTTAAGTACTTTATCTCATACTAAACGTATCCTAAAAAGTTAAGAATAGCTTCTTACAAACTTCAGTTCCTTTGCTCAAATACGCTGGATGCACTAAGAAGGTCTGCAGTTTTATTGGGAGCTCAGTACTTGAGGGTTTTTTGACCTGATACTGCTGCTTCTCAGGTTGTTTTTGTTAGCTGGTTTAATAGTTCTTGATGTTAGCACTGAAGTACCCAATGATATTTTACTTGAAGATGTTTTTTCTCTCCTGTAGGCACCTTTGGTTATAATTTCAGTCTCAGTATAACACCACTGTCTGTTATAATTTGTTTTTTTTTTATGTCATTTTAGATACTGACAGGGGACTTCGGCCCTTTAGAGGCCTGAGGGGAAGTTAAAGCAGTTAAAGGACCACCTTGAAGACATGCACACTGTCCTGCTGCTGGTCTGCTGTGGTAAGTTAAAGTGTCTTAGTTAATGGCCCATAAACTTAGAGCATCCTATCGGTGCTTAATTTACATGGCGGTCAGTCATTTTGAGAACGGTAGAGGGATGGACCGCTGGAATAGTCTGTTTATCGTGTTAATGTTTTATTCTTTTTACCCATTGTGGACTGTTTTTATTAAAACAGTCTAAATGACCAAAGCTTTTCATCTGAGAGTATGTTTTGAAAACATGGAAAACCTGCTTGTAGACCAGATTTAGAACTGGTACTGGGTCTCTGTTGTGATGTAAGCGCAGGGGAGCTGTAAGAATAGATATAGTTATTTTAATCTGACCTCTGCCCCTTCTCATAAAACACTTTTGTCATTGGTTTCCACCATTTGACCTGAAGATTCTTACACTTACCACCCAGGGAGGGTCTGCCTGGGTGGCATACGTGTGTGTGAGAGAGAGTAGGAGGGGGTAGCAGAGTGAGCATTAGGGGGCTCGCTTTAATCTTTGTTTAGTTTTTAATATATGAGCTGATCCCAGTTTACAATTTAGAACATTTTACTCTTTTTAGAACTCATCTTCGTCCTGGACCATCAGCGAGACAGATCAGAATAAAGACTGCTCTGTCTATTTACAATATTGATGTTCATGCGTGTTTGTGAGTCTGTCTAATTCCAGGTGATTGCCTCATTGTACTTTTTTGTGCTTTATTCTAAGTTAACCCATCTGTTCGTCGGCCAGTCTGCTCAGTAACTGGACTAATTTTATGCCCATAATGCTTAAACTAAACCTGACCCCACTAACAGTTTCCCTGACTCCCCCAGTTATGGGCCCCCTCAGGCTGTCAATTAGTCTGCCCTGTTATCCCTTTACAGTCTCAATTAGCAGCTGAAATGAATTTATTGCCGCATTTAAAGGGAAACAGGAGGTGAAAAGTCATGACTGTCTTCAGAATAAGGTTAGTTTTAAACCTGTGAGACCTCTGCTTTGGGTTGCAGCCGACAGCTGCACCACAGTTAAACACTTACAGCTAGCTGAAGATGTCTGGTTTAAGTGTTGTCTGAACACTGCAGTTGATATTGTGAGACTTGTTTGCCTTTTGATTTAATTTGTGTAGAGCTTTTCACAATCAAGATTGTCACAAGCAGATCTACAGCAGTGGATAGGAACCCAGAGTGTAGTGAAGGGTTGTGTAGACATGTTATTGATTGATAAAAGATATGGAGAGTCTGGAATTAACTTTTGCGTTGGTGTAATATATTATATTTAGGGGGAAAATGATGTGCGCACTTGATTCAATTGAATTGATGTTCATGCTAATTGCTCTTTTGGACTGATTTCCTTCATTTATGTCTTATTTTTTGTGCCTTTGCATTTTTTTTCTTTTTTTATTCTTAGTGACACTATTTAATTCCTGCAGTTTGGGGTAGGAACATAAAATGTTCAGGTCATCACTGAGATGTGGTGTGTGTGTGTGTGTGTGTGTGTGTATGTGTGTGTGTGTGTGTTTACTCATTTTCAGCTTTGTAGAGAGAATAATTTTTCCTGACTCTGTAAAGTGCTTTGTAAATTAAATAGTATAAACATTTCTTTTTGGGTGCTGAGGATAAAGATTAAAGGGATGGCTTATAGAAAAATCTAATTCTCACTATTTTCCGTATTCACCCAGATATAGAAGATCAGCCAAAACGTGTTTAGTGTCCAGATTTTCTTTCTTTAGTTTTAAACTGTAGCTATGAAGCTAATGTTGCTAACAAACACTAGCAGCCAATAGTCACCTTAATCCTTTCCATAAATACATCTTTAAAACTTGAACACACTCAAACCTCATTCAGGGCTTCATTGAAGTCACGCAGGCTGTTGTTAGACAACAGGTGTTGCGTCAAAATAATGCTGGCAGTCACATACAGCTCACACAGTCCTTACCATAGAGTACATTCGCGATTAATACTGTTTCTATCATGAAAGCCATCCGCTACACAGTGAAGAGTTGTTTATTCTTATAGCTCTCAGGTAAACATACTGTGTCCTAAACCATATCAACCAAAACATTGATGAGGTTTGAGTGGGTTGAGAAAAGTCCTGGGCATTTATTTTTGGAAAAAAATTGGGTGACTAATGACTTCTTGTGTTTTTAGCAACATTAGCCTCAAAGCGCTCCCTTAAGATTATGGTTAGTTTTAGTGTTAGGCTTAAAACATTATTATTACATATAGGTACATATGTATAATACATCTGGAACGTATGTATAACCTCAGTTCCAGACCTTGTATAAAGGCCTGTGTGTGGGTGTTAAGGGTGTAAGGGTTACAACCTGGTCTGAATGTATGCCATGTATAAGACACACAGGGCTTCTCTGAGGTTCCCCATCTTTTTCTGTTCCTTGCGTTAATCGGTTCATCTGTTTTTCTTTCTTTGCCATTATCTGGCAGTACTGTCTATAGGTGATGGGCTGCAGGGCTGGTGCGGGCCTCTCAGTGAGAGCTGGATGATAAAGCTGACGTACGGAGGGAGAGAATGTGTAAATGGTGGGGGTGAGCAGAGAGGAGGGAGGGATGATTATAGCAGAGTGTTATTTTTGGTGGAGTCCAGCTCTAATGAACGTAGTGGGAGGCGTGAGGTGAGGGTCAGCAGATGTTGAGACGCATTTAGTTCCAGTTACATTTACTGTCTGAGTTAAATTAGAGTTATTTGAACTAATCAGACCTGAGTCGTGTGACTGAGACCTCCTCTAAGACACGTCTGGTCATGATGGTGTGTTAACTGCGATTGAATTATTTAGATTTCCTTAACAAATTAAGTTGTCACATGACATTACATTCAGTCTGTGTGATTCTGTGCACAAGCATACACTTCACTGAGATTTAGTTATATTTTGGGTCAAGCTTACTTTTACCTTAACCTTTAGAAGTGTACAGTTATTACTGTCACGCTCATATTCTATTTAAAAGTGACAATGTAATTACATAATCACACAGTCGAATTACATTTACATTTGACTCACTTTCTTTATTTAGTTTTTTTGTTTGTTTTGAGTTTAGGAAATTACAAACACACAGTAAAAATATAAAGGATGATTATTTCTTTCCATAAAACAAGACTCCTCTCAACTTTCATTACTAAAAAACATTTTTAATCTGGCATTCTAATGTCATCCACCCCTGAAAGCCCAAGGTAGTGAGAAGAAGGATGTGTTATTCAACATTTATCCAGGCAAAAAACTTACTGATGAATGAATCTGTTTAAGTACAATTTAAACTTAATTTTGTACAACTGGGTTTGATTCCCCAGCCATGTGACCAGGGTCCTTTCTGTGTGGAGTTACATGCTCTGCCTGTGTCTGTGTGTGTTTTCTCTGGGTGCTCCGGTTTCCTCCCACAATCTAAAGACATGCAAAAATGCTAAATTGCCCCTAGGTGTGAGTGTGTGTGTTTGATGGTGTATGTCTGTGTGTCTGCCCTGCGATGGATGGGCAACCTGTCCAGGGTGTTTCCTGCCTTTCGCCCAATGAGTGCTGGGATAGGCTCCAGCTCCCCCTGACCAAGAAGGATAAGCGGCTTAGATAATCTGTGTGTGTGTGTGTCTCTCATCTCATGGCTGTTATTGTAGCTATGCAAGGTTTTAACCGGCAGCGTCAGGTTTTATTCATCACTTTGGGTCATTGATGGGCTGTTTTGAGTCATGTTTAGAGCTTCGAACAGAAGTATTTTGTATCAGTGTCAGACTGAAAACTTGGTGTGGTACAGGTCAGTTTGAAGCAGAATTTTGGGATCAGAAGCTTGGGATCGGACAAAATTTTACCACACTTGGATCACGTTCGGACTCAAAACTTGATGATGTGGTTCAGGTCACACAAAATTCTTAATCTGTTTTTTTGGGTTCAGACCAAAATTTAGGGCCTGATTAAAGCTCTAACAAGAGCAGGATTACCCTGTTCTACCTGGATAATAGTGTGAAAGAGCAGCATGTCTCAGACCCATGTTTATGCTTGTAAAAAAAGAAATAAACAAGGATAGCTGAGGAAAAGTAACATAAAACGCAGAAGGGCTTATGTTGGCAAATCCCTTTTTGAAAGGCGCGGCTTTAGTGCTGAGTGGAGGAGAGAAGTCTGCTTCCTCCACTCCTCCACCCTCTTTTTTTCAGTCTGTTTACCTTCTGCCTCCTCCGACTGCAGTAGGCCTTTTTTAATCTGTGCAGCTGTGTGTTGAGAGGGAATTGGACAGGTAAGGATTTGCCGCAGGCCTGAGCCCGCAGGGCCTGCAGAGTGATCCACAGAGCCTAAACCAGCCCTCCGGAACTGCACCCTGCAGAACAATGGACCAGGCAGTGTCTTTGATAGAGCTCTCAGCGGAGGGGGAGAAATGGGGTGGAGAAATGAAAGAGAAGAGGGTGTTGAGGGCAGGAGTAGTTTTGTTTATGAGAGAGAGAGCAGTGTTGAATAAGGTTTCTCCCTTGGGGGTAGGGGTTAAGATAGAGAGAGAGAGAGAGACAGAAGGAGAAAAAGAGAGGGAAAGAAACAAAGAAACAGGATGAAGAAGAGAAAGAGAGGGGAGAGAGACCCAGAGAGAATGGGTGAGAGAGAAAGAAACAGAGAGTGAGAGCGAGAGAGGCAGTAGAAGAGAGGGCTAGAGACAGAAGAAGGGAGAAGAGTGAGAGAGGTAGAGAGACACAGAGAGTTAAGGTGTCAGATATTAAACCAAATAAATACAACAAAGCTGCAGTAGAGGACTCAGACACAGAGAGGAGTCTGTTTCTGTCTGAAGTGCTGGTTATAGTTCAGGCTGCACAAGGATCTGCCAAACATTAACCTGTCTCACTGCATCTGTCTTATGTTGGATAGTGTGTGTGTGTGTGTGTGTGTGTGTGTGTGTGTAAGTGTAAGATGTGTGATTAACTTTAGCCTGGCTATCTCAGCCCCTGTTTTCCAAGCAGAGTCTTGGCTGGAGTTGAGGACGTTGTTAATACTGACTGGTTGTCAGGGTTAATCTAAGCTTGTGTATTTCTGGAGAGCGTTTCCAGT